AAGGTTCATGATTATAAACTCATTTAATCTTAATCACTTCTGAAAGGCCATAAATCCAATACAGTGATATGGGGGATTTGGATTTCAACATAGGAATAGGAGAGGGGCATGCTTAAGTCCTCTGAGCAACCATTCTTCACTCATCAAAGCCCAGATATAAAAAGGCACCTTAAGGGGACAACATGGTTACTAGGCGCCCACAAGAGGGCATCAGCCTGAGTGAGATTCATGATATGAAACTAAGGAAATGGTATGTCTATCACAGAAAGGGACGGGCTGTACAAAGCAGGCTAAGTAAAAGTTCATAAATGCTCAGAGCTTCAGTAGGGGCCAAGGGCTTTAAGGATACTGGCTTCACTGGCTCGGCAGGGTCTCAGGATGAGATAGATATAGACAGCCTTAGTAAAGTATGAGTATGCCCAGTTCATACCTGCAGTTCAAGCCTTATGGGATGGTGTGTACCAACCTCCATCCAGGACACCCACCCATTGTCTTGCAGTGATCCACATTCACCAACCTCTTTACTAGGTTGACTTTGCAGAGGAAAGCACCTAATAAGTATCTTTCAAGTGTTTCAGCCCTGAAAAATTTCTCCATCAAAAGTAATGAAGTTGATGTTGACTGTGATTTGATAGCAATAAAGGATGAGCTATTTATGTCTAAAGGCATGTTATAGGTATAAGGCCTTTCATCCTCATTGTGAATTAGTTGTGATTGTCACCAATAGCTTAGTTTTATGATCTTTGGGTTATTCTGAGTCAATCTTCAGAGCCACATGGCCACTTAACATTGGGAGTGTGGTTACCAACTCAAAGGCGGACAACCTTATCCTGTACCTATTTGCCTTCTGGCTCTACTTAGTATAATCCCTTCCTCTCTCTCAGCTTTCTACACAAAGCACACTGAGAGTACGGCTCTGTAGCAGCAGCTTGCTGTGCAAATGAGGGTAGGGTAGGTAAACTGACTGCTGAGCTGGCCAAAGCTGGGCAAGAGGGAGACTTCACTTCAGCCCTGAAGCACCAGTAGGATTTCCATAAGAGAAGCTGAAGAGGGAACCGGAGGTGAAGGCGGATGTCAGATGGGTCACGAAGCTTTCATCGAATGTGAAAAGTGAGAGAAGAAAAACAATCCAACATAATTCACAGGCTTCTGGGCGGTGCAACTAGGTGAGCAGTAGGGACGATGAGGGTGCATTTGTAGCACTTCAGGGAGACGGCGAATTCTGTTAAGACAAGTTGAGGCCAGGTTTCGGTGGGTTATCCAATGTCTAGCGCAAGATGAATCTGGGGCTCAAGAAGGAGTCTTGTAGAAGCCTCTTAAACCAACATATACTTTATTCTAAGTCTTCTTCCTCCTGCTCTGGTTTTATGGTTTTTGTTGAACACCTGAGCTGACTAATACGGGCTCCACCTGCCTCCCAGGTTCTCACATCCCCTCTTCATTTCTGCTAATCTTTACTTTTCTCCTTTGTCTTCTCAATCCACTTTCCCATAACTGGAAACACAATTTATATCTTTGCTGTCACTGGCAGGACTGGAGAGAGATTATGGAATTCAGACATTACTGATATTCAGGGTCCCTTGCCACAGGCTCAGCCTGACACAAATGAGGTGAGATGAGTTCCCCAACCCAATCAAGGGCCTCCTTCAGAGACGTTCCATGACTCACCATCTTGGGAAGGCTACAAACAAAGTAAGCCACACGGAGAAAACCTAGCAAACTTCCACTTGCCCTTGACGAACACCAGCTGGTCCCACAAAAACCCCTTCTTCCCTTCTCATCTTTCCCCCATTCCATGAAAGGTTACAGAAAGCTGTGGGCCATTCTTAAGGAAGAAAGAGAGGAGCCAGATCCAAGATGCAGATAAACTGACTCCAGGACTCTCAGATGACATGCATTCAAAAGGACTTCTGACTTCACTTAGAGCAGCGAGAATTAATTCAGATTTAAAGTAGTAGCTGAAAAATCCACTCTTGCCTAAACCTCTCTACAGCTTCCATTATCATTTTAAAAGAGATTTCCTTTAGGGTCCAATTTTTAAATTGATTTACTTAAATCATAAACTAAAGAGAATTCATAGTAAAAACACAGATAAAAGGCTTGGGGATGTAGCTCAGTGGTAAAGTATTTGCTTAATATATGTGAAGCCCTGAACTTGATTCCAGCACCCAACACACACGCGTGTGCACACACACACACACACACACACACACACTATTGACCTGAGAATACACATTGCTTGCACATTGAACAAATACGGGTTGAGCACAAGCTATCTGCCAGGCACAGCCATGGGACCTAGACCCTTAGAAAAACCCCAACACACGCGTGTGCACACACACACACACACACACACACACACTATTGACCTGAGAATACACATTGCTTGCACATTGAACAAATACGGGTTGAGCACAAGCTATCTGCCAGGCACAGCCATGGGACCTAGACCCTTAGAAAAAAAGAATTAGCCATTCCTACCCGGCAAATGAATCTAGCCTAATGGAGCTGCTAAGAAAGGGAAGTTTCCTCTATAGCATGTGATAAATTCCGACCTCTCAGGGAGCAGGACAAGCTCTCCTAATACATGCAGGATTGTGGGGGAGTGGACAGGAGAGGAGGGCTCAGGGTGGGCAGAACTCTCTCCCTGACTGCCGGCTTATTAGACCGGGATGAGATGCATACCGGCCCCTCGATCCTTTGCATACCGACCACCAGACTGAGAAATAGCACTCAAGCGTTGAGAACTTCAACCAGGGAAGAAGAGTCAGTCTTAAGTGTCTATCTTATATTTCCTGACAGGAAAAGAGAAATAAAGGCTATTTTCTGAAGAACTATGGTTAAAATACAATGGGTGAGTAAAAAGAAAATACTGAAAGATCTAGAATAACCTACTGAAGGACTCTGCTTTTTCTAGGCTCTAGAAGACAAAACAGCCACCACAACCAACCAACCATCCTCCATCGCCAGTGACTACTGTAGCTTCTCAGCACAGCCCACTCTTCCAGAAAGCTCCTTAGCTTCTGTTCCACAGACAGCAGAATTCTCATCATTCCCAGCTTTAACTGTGCCCACTCTAGGTTCATGTTGACCGTATTTCCTCACCTGGTACATGCACCACAGTATCTCCTTGTCAGCTTGGATCTTGCCTCAGATGTGATGTGCCCTCTGCCCCCACACCTGGCTCTCTACACTTAACCGCATTGCCAAGAAACCAGGCTTAGAGAGTTTTCAGGCACAGCTCTGACACCCTCTTGCCTCTTTTACTCTGCTCAGAGGTGTGCAAACTTGACTCCTATTGATTTAACCTGAGGGAGTGCCACTTTCTTATCAACCTCTATGTTTTATAGCCATTTTCCCAATGCCTGGTCTGTAGCAGCATCCAAATATATACATGTACATTTTTCTCATGCAACAAATAAAAATGCTAAAAGTTTAATAGCAGTTAAGTGTAAAATATTCTTCAAATTTTGAAGTATTAGCATATTAAAGCCAAGAAATCCATTCAATTCTACTGGACAGATAAGTTAAAAATGATAAAGCCTGAGATTTGAGTACATAATTCAACCCATTTTTCTCTCCTACTGAGATAATTCTTAATCCAACCAATATATATTTTGTTCAGTGAAAATACTGTTGTGGCTTGGATCTATGTCTCCCCATGTGCTCACAGGTGGGTCTTTTCAGAAGTGGCTGGGTCTAGGGTGTGTGACACTAGGACTAAGGGTATACGAAGGCCCACCCTGGCTATGGGCAACATCAACCAATAGATGTGTAGTCTGGAAAAAATATAATGAGAGAGATGGAAGCAGGCTTCAGATGCTTTGCTGCTTTGTGCCTACACTGCCATGGGACTGTTTCTTCTCTGTGACACCCCTTGCCATGACACCCTTGGAGCAAGCTAAGTATGGACTGAAACCTCTGCAAACTGTGAACTCCTTTAACTTGTGATTGTTAGGTATTATGTCTCAGCAGTGAGAAAAGTAACTAAGACAAACACAGACTTCATATTTATAAATAGCAGTAAATATCATAAAATTTCACTGAAATTATTTCACAAATGTTAATGTTCAAGGAGAAAATATTTAAATCCTTTAAAGGGTAATGGTGTCCTGACTAACATGTCCAAAAGAATAAGGTCACCACCTACTGCAAATATGCATAAGTCCATTCCCAAAATAAGTTGTATAATTCATAGGCTTTCATTCTAAAAGTAAAACCAAAAATTCCATTTGAATGACTAAAGTTTTTGCATGCAATTTTAACATTAACTTAGAATATAGAAAAAAAATTCAACCCTGTGCATCCATACTGGAAACTACTTCAGTGTCTTTAATGAAGGAATGTTTTAAAAACTGTTTAAATTCAACATCCAGATGCAATCATTGTGCAAATGAACTCTTAGAAATACTAGATTTGCATTATAATGATATTTGGCTGAATATATTAAAAATCACGGAATCAACAAAAATTTGTCTACCTCTAATTTTTTTAAATAATGCAAGTGAAGTTGCTCACATATAAGCACTTATATATGTGTGCATAAACACACGTAAAAAGTAGCAGGAAATCAGCCTTCCAGCAGTCAAAGGAAGAAACACCTTCCTATATTTTTTTTACTAGTATGCATGGTTTATCACTAAGTATATTTGGGCAGCTTTAGTGTCAGAAAAACAGACAGACTGAAACAAAAAAATTAAAAGAAAAGTTATGTTCTTAATTTATTTGCCAGGAGAGAAATTTTTTTTTATTCAGTAGGGCTTTTAATACCTTAAATTATCCTAGAAAAGTTGTTTGTAATTGTTTTTAAATACATAGAGGTCAATCCTAAAACTAATGGGAACACTGGGTGAAATCAATAGTACATTAATTTAAATTCTTGTAAATGATGCTCTCTCCATGCAAGTTAACCACAAATATAACTCCTAGCCACATTTTCCAAGGGCATGGAAAGTATTTCAGAAAAATAACATAAAGAAAGTGGAAAGCCCTGGTCTCACCTCTGGCTCTTCTGGCGCATTGCTTCCCAGGGGAGGTCTGTGCAGATCAAGGAGGCCTTGGCTGGAGACCCAGCTCTCCTCCACCGGAGAGGTGTAGATCTCCTCTGAATCTGTCTCCACTACTTGCAGATTTCTTATCTCTTCCTGGCTCCAATCCAGTTCTTCTTCAGACTGTTTCAAGGAGCTGCTGCTGCTCTTGGGGATGATCCCTGCCGTGGACAGGCTGCTGGGCACTGAGGTGTAGGAGGACTGGGGTCCCGTGTAAGGGTGGCCTTCTGGAACCAGGGCCTCAGCCTCCAGAAGGTCAGGAACCGACAGGCTGAGGCGGCGGTCCAGGTGATGCCCTGCCCTTAAGTCTAGGGCTTTGTTTGCATTCTTCTTCACCTTCTTCTTGCTCAAGTTGATTAACAATGGCCTCGTCCTCTGTTTTAATGACCCCCAGACAGACGGTTTATCCAGATCCATGGCTGCATGAAGAACCAATAATATGCTCCTCAAAAGTAGGTACCTCTATGGAAAAACCGCAGTGACTCCTAAAACACAGAGAGAGAGAGAACATGAACCTTCATGGTGACATCAGGGCATGAGGAAGGAGTAAACAATATTTTTAATTAAAATATTTGTCTGTAAACTCAGCACTCTGGGAGGCCTAGGCATGAGGATCGTAAGATTGAGCCCAGCCTAGGCAACTTAGCAATTTAGGGAGACCTTGTTTCAAAATAAAAAGTAATTTTAAAAAAGGGCTGAGGAAGCATCTCAGTGCAAAGACCCAGAATCAATCCCCAATGCTAAAAATAAACAAGCCAAACAAACAAAAATTTTGATCAAGATGCAAACACATAGTTCATAACTCCTTTAATACTGGGACATGATATCTTAAAGAACAGAATTTTAAGGATTTTTTTTAATCAGAGCAGTTATAGAAAAGTTATAAAGCAATGAATGAGTGATTGATTGAAAACATAAGACTGACTCAAAAGAATAGCTTATTTTGTGACATCTGACAGAGGAAAAAGAGGCCAAGAGCCCAGACAAAGCACATTTTCTCAAAACAAGGGCTCTGTATTTTGTACCACACTTCAGGGCAAGCTGTTTATTTAGTGGAAAGAAGAGCCCAGCAAATCCACAAATGAAGGTTCATGTGTAATTTCTCTGCAAAAGATGAGGACATTGAGTCTCCACAGCATTTGCCTAATGAGGACCAGGACAGGCACCAGAGTCTCCCTGCCCAGATGTGGTAACTTCAGTCCACGGACCAAGATTCAGACCAAGGCTCTGAGCGAGGCACCCAGCTTTGCTTCCTTCTGCTTAGATGTTAGACCATAGGCAAGGCACCCACTATGCCCCCATTTTATCACCCATACAACTAGGATCAGCTTGCCTAATTCACAGAAAAAAAATATGCGATAAAGATGAAGCACAGTGTCTGATGACCATTTGGTCAGAGAAAGGTGTTTTGATCACTGCTGCTATTGTCCAAGTTTCTAGTTTTGATATCTTAGTCAAGTAACTTCAGAGCTCTGTATCTTATAATCCCTCCTTCACAGCCAGGTTTAACAATGGTGAGTAACTGGGTCTGAGAGTTCATACAGCAGTGCTGCCACGGGGTAAATATTTAATTCAATGTTATTTTTTAAATTATTATTTCAATTATTTCATCTTGGATTATTCTGCATTTAAATGCTTAAGTATAGTTTATGAGCTTTTGCTGCTTTTAAAACTATTGTAAACAAAATCTGGATTTCATATTAGTAAGACACAACTATGTTATTCAATTTTATAGTTTCACTTGCAAATATACTCAATGTGATTGTTTCTGTACCAACTTAGAAATATTTTTAATCACTTAGCAAATCACAGAAGCGAGAAGAGGAGCACTCTGCCCAAACACACGAGGAGCCTTTGAGAGAGGAAAAAGTTTATTTGCAGCGTCCACAATGTGACAGGGACCTCAAGAAATTCAAGACACAGATTACAGCCTGGAGAAATTTATCACAAAAATGCAAAACAAAACAATACAAAGGAAATACCTGAGCAAAAGTGTTTATGCAAACCCCACACTAATTATAGCCGATACAGTTTTTGGCAAAAGAAATATTATTCTTTTCCACCAAAAAATTGGAAGAGATAAATAGAAGAAGAATGTGGATTAACTGAAAGATCTGTTGTAAGGTAGATCATGAAAACCATAAAACGTGAAGTTGATGGCCAGTAACTTCTGAACAAAAACTATGTGATTAAAGTTTGCAGGTAGCACCACTGCCCTGGCTTGCCTGAACACAAAGGTAGCAGCACATAGGTGACAAAACAGTGCACTCAGGGGAACACGGCCAAGGAGAAGCAGCATCATGACCTCAGTGCGTGCAAAAACACTTTTCATGCGCTTGTATGAACACAATGTAATACTGAGTGGTGTTTTAAAAGGGTGAGGTAAAACTTTATGCATTTCAATCCAGGTATAAGAGTAAGAAACAGAGACAGAAGTAGACAAACAGGCAGAAATCCCACAAGCTCAAAGTCCAGCCCCCATGAAAGATCCTAGCACCACCTGAAACAGAATCATGGAGAGATTATCTTTTTAAACTGCCCCTCCCTGGGCTCCAAAAGAAATGAACCTCAATGCCAATAATCTGCCTGCCAACAAATGTACCTGCTGAATAATATGTGATTCAAAAGTGAAGAATCTAAGGCTAGAGAAATTCACACTTCCTTTTGGGAGAAATCTGCCTATTTTGAGGAGAAACTCAGGGAAATTAACTTATCATGGAATGCAGCTTTGGAATCTCATGAAAGAAAGCAAAATACATGACACACATGGAAAAATGGAACAAATTAAGTTGCATCTCTGAACAATGTGTTCTGTGTGGAAAAAAAAATGTTGCTTTTCCATGCAGTTAAACTGTCCTGGGCCAATAAATATTTTATCTCCTTTATTGAGGGTGGTGAATAGGAAAGGGGTTACCTTGAGTGGAAATGGACCTGTTGGAATATTAAACATTTTCAAGAGAAATTCCAGGAAGAAGGCAAGGATATAGCCAAGAACATTGGACTCTGGAACTATCAGTTCCATCTTGGAGAAATCAATGCGTTAGCATTTTTTCTTTCTTCTTGAAATCATTCCACAAAAGTCCCAAATAGACTGTATTGAGTGTAAAGTTATGTAGCTTTCACACAGTCAGGACCCTCCTTTAGAATCACACCCTCCGAGGTTCTCATTTGTTCTCTGGGATTATAGGTTTGTGGTTTTGAGGGTGTCTTTTCCGTGGAATCATGCCATTATAACTTTCAGAAGCCAGCTTGTTTCCCTCAGTACATAACCTTCGAGAGCTTAGGCAAGCTGCCGCACGTCAGTATTTCAATTCTTTCTCACTGATGAGGGGAGTATTCCATGGTGTGGATGGGTCAGCATTTATCTGTTTCCCCAGGAAGGACATTTGGGTCATTTCCAATTTTGACCTCCCACAAATAAAGTCGTCAAAATCACTCAGGATTATTTATGGACATACAACTCATTTCTCTGTGATAAATATCCAGGAGTGTGGTTGCCGAGTTGCAGAATAAGCGAATGTTTAACTTTATATGAAACTATCTTCCAGAGTACCAGTGTGATTCTGCATTTCTACCAACAATCATGAAAATGTTTGCTGTTCAACATCTCAACTCTTGACACTGTTGTATTTTTAATTTTAAACATTTTTTAAAATTAAGTTTACTAGTACATTTTAGGTATACACAATGATCATATTCACCAAAGGGAATTTGTACCTGTACATATCTTGATTCTTTCTTCCTCATTCCTCTAACCTCCTTTCAACCCCTCCACCTCTCGTTATTCACAAAAGCCCTGTTTCCATTTTTCCCTTCTTTTCCATTTCACATTTCACAATTTTCAAATATTTCTTATTTTGTAGCTTGCACCATTTTTGCTCTTCATGGGGTTACTTGCATAACAAGTATATATAATATATAATATAATATAATATATATGCTATATAATATATATTATAGATAATATATGCTATATAATATATATGATAGATAATATATTATTATCTATTATATATATATAGCTTTAGCATAAATATATATATCCCATACATATATTATTAGACCTGTAACTAGTTGTGACTCATTATAACTACAGTAATAATTTTGATCTTTATTTCCCAATTGTACTTCATTAATTTAAACAGATGCAATTGGATTGTGTATTTGACCCTGTATCCTTTGAATTTGCTATAGCTACTTCTTAGTTTTGTAAGTTTTTCTCAGATTCCTTTCTGTCCTTTACTTTAAAATTCATGTCTTCCCAGAAATGGAAGTATATTTATTCCTTCTTTTCTGCCTGATGCCTGTTTCTTTTCCTTGCCTTATTGGAGCACCTAAAGACACAGGTGAGAAAGTGAAAGTCCTGTCACTTTCCTGATCTTGGAAAAAATGCACTAAATCTTTCACCATTAATCATGACATTAGTGGTTTGTCAATTTTGCTGATTTTTCTCAAAAAGCTTTTGGTTTTATTGATTTTCATTGTTTCACTATTATTTCTGCTCTTTATTATTTCATCCTTTTATGCTTCATATAGGCACAATTTGTTCTTACTTTTTTAAGTTAGCAGCTACAATTAAGGAGTTGCAAACTTCAGACCACAGGCAAGATGCAGGCAAGCATCTATTTTCCTACACAAGAACTTACTGAATACAGCTGTACTTAGGTGCTTATGTATTAGTCATTTTGCTTTTGTACTGCAGTGCTTACTGCAAGGCTAGGATATAGCTCAGTGGTAGAGCACTTGCTTGCCTAGCATGCCTGAGGCCCTGGGTTTCAAATCCAGTAATGGGAAGAGACAGGGAAAAGGAGGGGGGACAGGGAGGGTTGGAGGAAGGGTGGAGAGGAAGGAAAGGAAAGAAAATAAAGTGGAAAAAAAGGAGAAAGAATCAAAGAAAGAAAAGAAAATTACCCTGATATCATATGGCCTTCAAAGCCTAAGTATATTTTATCTGGCCATATATGGCCAAAGTTTGCCAAAACAAAATTTGCCAAATCTTGGCTTAGATTATTTAAACTTCTGTTTCCATTTAAAAAGTTTAAGACTTCATATTAACTGCATTTCAAAAGCTGTGATATTTTGGATTTTCATTTTCAAACACTTCAAAATATTTTCTATTTCACCTTGAAAGTTCCTCTCTGAGCTATTACATAGAAGTATACTGTATTTTTCACTTCCACCCTTACTTTTCAAAAACGTTTCTTGAAACTTCCTCTTTCGGCCAGATTTATTCTGAAGTGTATTGTTAATTCTGAAATATTTGAAGGGTTTCTAGATAGATTTTCATTGATTTCTAGCTTAATTTCCCTGTGATCGGAATCTAAATATGACTTCAGTTACTGTAAGTTTGTAAGGTGTGATGAGAGACTCAGACTGTGGCCTAGCTTGGTAAAGACTATGCAGCCACTTAAAAAGTGCATAGTGCGGCTTTGTATATACCTTAGATCTAGGCCCTTGGTAGTTCTGTTTTTCTGTGTCCT